AAAGCCTATAATTATTTAAAAATACTTAATCATAAATTATTTTATGTTCTAAGCACCTTGACTACTTCCATTAGACTGTAAACACCTTGATGTCAGGTATCATACCTTACAGTGCTCATGTATCTTCTAGAACATTTAGCATAAGCCTGGCCACTGAAAAGATATTGGAGAACTGCCCCTGCCATGATTCACACACAGTCAGTCAGAATTTAATATTAAGTTTTCTTATGGATGAGGCTGTTTGGACAGCGGGAGTAGATTTCTCTTACACTCTCCTGCCAGCGTTTTCTTCTCACCCCACATGAGGTGGAGATTGAGCCAAACAGAGGAAGAGCCTCAATGAGATGGATTGATGCAGTGAACGCAACAGTGGGTTCAGATACAGCCGTGGCTGCAAGGGTGGTTCAGTAGCTCGGCTCCAGGCAGTGTTTAATCTTATTGTCCATGGGTCACTATGAGGCAGAAGTGACTTGCTATCACCAAACAGTAACAACCGCGGTGGAAACCCTGTGGGACAACCTGCTTTGTTCTTCAAGTTTGAATGGACTCGATAACAACAATCTTTTTTTCAAAAATTGTTCCCTGTATCCCTGTAACTCTGATCCCTGAAGAATCTCAGAAGTCATCCAGGGTCGGGGACATCTCTAGGGAAAAGCTTGAAGTAAACATTCTAGTGTCTCCTCCGTACATATGTCTATTCCATTTCAAGTCATTTGTGTGCCCATTACCTCATCCAACTCATACATGTCGACTGGCAGGGCAAGGATTTTACCAGGGAAACCTGAGAATTTTAGCTCCAGCACTCTCCTTTTAGAAAGGGCCCTCTCTCACAGCCTCTAAAGATTCTGTGGATATCTGGTCCTGTTCTGACAGGAACATCAGCATCACCTCGGAGCTCTTCAAAAAGGCAGAATCTCAGGCCTCATCCCAGACCTACCGAGTCAGGACCTCCATTCACTTAAACAAGACTACAAAGAGACTTGTGTGTGTGTGTTCAAGGTTGAGAACACTGATCTGTTCAGAGGAATTCATGTAACAGTATTCACGACTTAACATCTTAATTCTTTTTGACACAGTTGCTGACTTGCTCTCTTGGCGATCCTAGGCACACCTCTAATAGAACTGTGCCCCACAGGCGTCTCAGTTGTGAATGCTCTCAGAAGTAGGTTGCCAGGTCTTTGTTCTGAGTCACCTGTGAGTAGATGCCAACCTCTTAGATGAGCAGCTGAGCACTTGAAATATTTGCATAACCTCAGGATTATTTGTCTCACATACTTTGGCATGTGGTCAGGACAGACCAGTTCTTGGCAAAAGTCACCATGCAGGGAAATGTAGAAGGTCACAGAAAGAGAGGATCAACAAGACGGCTTGACACAGTGACTGGGACAATGAACATAAGCACGTCAGAGGTGGTGCGGATGGTGCAGAATGGCAGAGTTCACACTTATTCTTAGGGATGCTGTGGACTCTGCCAAGAGAACAAACAGGTCTGTCCTAGAAAGGGTGAAACCAAATTTCTCCTGGAGGAAGGATTTTGAAGCTCTGTCTCACATGCTTTGGGCACGAGGTCAGGAGGGACCAGGTCCTTGGAGAGGGACATCATGCTTGGAAGGGTGGAGGGACAGCGCAGGAGAGGAAGACCCCAGATGAGGTGGATTGACACAGTGACTTGGGCAATGAGGGTAGGTATGTCAGACATAATGAGACTGGCTCAGGGTAGGGCAGGGTTCAGAGCTATTGTGCATAGGGCCATTATGAGTCATAGGTGACTTGACAGTACATAACAACAACATGAGCTGTGGTCAACCCAATAACACCTAACAACAACAGCAAGGATTCCTGATATGAATTACTGACTTAAGGAACTGTATTCTCAAACTTGATTGAATATGCCCAGTGGCAGAGTGGTCAAGTGGTCAGTTACCAACCAAAAGCCAAAAGTTTAAATATACAAGCTGCTCCTTAGAAGAAAGATGTGGCTTTATCCTTTTGTGAAGATCACATTTTTGGAAATCCTATGGAAGAGCGGCGTAACTGAGAGTGGGCATTGGATTAGTATTAACTTCTCTAAGAAAAACAGGCATTAGGTTTTGTTTTTATCTAATTTTTTCAAACAGAACTCTGAAAGGGAAATATTTAGCCTCCAAAATAAGTGTATCTGGCTTCTCAAAGAGCTTCTTCCCAGGGTCTGCCACCACAAAGGAGCACATCTCTTTCCCTCACTGAAAAGGCTTGTCTGAGAGTCTAAAATCAGAGGGATATTGTGTGTTTATAGAGATGGCCAAGGGGTAAGATGTTGAGCTGCTGTCTCAAAGGCACACTGTTCAAATCCACTAGGTGCTCCGTGGGGGAAGGATGGACAATCGCCTCTTGTGTGATTTACTGCCTATGAAAACCTGCTGGAGGCTCAGCTATGGGTTGGCTCAGACCTGACGGCATACAACCCAAGGTTGGCAGTCTACAAGCAGGGCTTAATTCCATTATAAGTCTTGACAGGAATCTGGAAGCCATATTGGATTTTTAAAAGCTGTCTTTCCAAAGGGTAGTCCCTTTTGCTTTGGTGCTAATTTATGCCACATAATTCAAGGACACCATTCCTTTTCTTCGAGGTCTGGCCTCTGCAGGATACTTAATCTATTCCCAGAGGGTCTTTATCATGATAGAGAAATAGATACAAGGTGGGTCTTCAGATACAACATTATCTATATCTTTACAATGAACTTCCAGAAATGGGTATGATTGAGGAAGAAGGTTGTCGTCATTATTGATAGGTGCCATTGAGTGTACTTTAATTCATAATGATGTTAGGAAACTTGCCATATCCTGTGTCATCCTCATGATCTTCTCCAGGAGATGATTATTACTGTCACTGTGTCAATTCATCTTTTAATCAGAGAGCTGGACAATGACCAGAGATGGCAGAAGAATTTAAGCCTTTGAGTTGTGGTGCTGGAGAAGAGTATTGAACATATCATGGCCTTGGAGAGGGTGAAGCCAAGATGTTCCTTGGAAGCAAAGATTTTGAGTCTCTGTCTCACATACTTTGGGCATGTTTCCAGGAGAGACTGGTCATTGGAGAAGAACATCATGCTCGGGGGGGGGGGTGTGTGGAGGGACAGCCCAGGAGAGGAAGACCCCAGATGAGGTGGATTGACACAGTAAATAAGGGCAGAGACAATTGTCAAAGACAATCCAATTGGCTCAGAATCAAGCAGGGTTCAGAGCTACTGTGTATAGGGGGTGTAGTTATGAGTTGTAGTCAACTCAATGGCACATAACAACTACAAAAACCACCTTTCCCAGTATGATGTCTTTTTCCAAGGATTGGAAATGTGAGAACATGCCCGAAGTATGTGAGAAGTTTCCGTATTCTTGTCTCTACGAAGTTCCCCGCTTACACTTCCTCCAAAACTGGTTTGTTTTGTGGTAGTCCACACGATAGTTTATACTCTTCTCCAGCATCACAATTCAAAGGCATCAATTCTTCTCTAATCTCCTTTATTCCTGCCCAACTCTCAGAAGCACCGGAAGCAATTGAAGATGCCATGTACACATTAGTTTTTAAATGGACATGCTTGTTTTTAGCACCTTGCAGAGATTCTTGACAGCAGACTTACTTATGAAGAACAAATTTTAAGAAAAAATTGGTCCTTTCTGATGTCCTGGGACCATCTTGTAATAGAATGAATGACATGTTGACCAATCATGTAATCTCATTAATGTGTTATAGAATTATCACTGCCAGATTCTGGCTTTCTGATAGCTTACTTTTAACTGCTCTGGTCATCTTTCCACCAGTTAAGAATTTTGTGATCTTTAGTTTCTGATTCATCAATGTAAGATATGTACTCTGTGCTGTGGTCCAGAAGAGTGGCCATTTTCACTCTGTGATAATGGATGTTTCTCTGACTTGACCATCTCTCTTCAATAAACTTCATTTGCTTTTATTTAACCAGATTCTGTGATGCTACTTCACAACTACCTGATCCTGTTGCCAAACCATGTCAAAGGATGACGTTCTAGAGGTAAAAAGTCAAAAAGAATGGTACAAAAAAATAAGGCAATAATTTACAGAAAAAGTAATCTATATACATTTTCCTTTCAGATTGTATAATATAATGAGACATTATAGTGTTATAACTGATATTAATAAAATACCACCTACAGAATGTATTAGCTTATTAAAAGCATTTTCCCTTTATTTGGCTGTCTACGATGTGTGCAGCCAATATGCACAATTCCACTTTTCTACAAGTTTTGACATATTCTAATTAAGATAAAGTGAGCTCTGGTGGCCTAGTGGTAAGGCGCTGTACTGCCAACCCAAAGACAAGCAGTTCAAATCCACTAGCTGCTGCTTGGAGAAATACAGGCAATCTCTTCCCATGTGAAATACAGCCTCTAAAAACCCACTGGAGGGTGTGCTATGAGTTGATTCCAACTGCACAACACATAATAGCAACAATGAGAAGAAATACAATTTCTATTTAGATGAATTGATAGAAAGTTTGTCAGTGATTCTGACAAACTTTACAGTATTGTTTCTGAAATAAATTATTGGAAAAACTGATGGTATTTGAAGCCTAATTCACCAAATTGTTAACAAACTTTGACTTTAATGTCGTGTTGGCATTTGGCAAGATTAGAACAATTTCATCAGAAACAGCATTAGTAATCCTGGAATCATACTTCATAAAAGCTGGAAGAGCTTTACAGATCACCCAAAACAAATTCCTCCTCATATGTAGGGGAAATGAAGCTCTGAGAAGGAATCTACTTACAGACATGCTAACACTGCTGGGATTATTGAAGACGTCATGTAAGAAGGTCGGAATACATTTTTAGACATAAGGAAGCTTGGGCAAAACCATACGCTCCCCAAAGTTCGAGTTTACGTTCACTCACATTTGTACCACAAGTTCAACTCAAAACCCAACATTTGGGATCAAACTTTCAGATTTTTTTTTAAAACAAACTTTTCATAGGATGCATCAACTTACCTGCTCCACCATCTCCTGGATTTCTCTAGTCGCGGGCTTAGCTTCTGTTAAGCCTCCAGGCATCATTTTGGCTAATTGCTTCTTGGCACAGCAGGCTGCAGAAACGAAAAGCTCAGGTGGATGAGGAGAGTCCGGTTTTTAAAGTGTCCACAGGCTCCGCCTATGGGATAGTTTATTCTCTGTGAATAGCGAACGAACTCAGAGAAACAAAGTGTGCCTGGTGACAAATCTCCTTCCTTTCAACAGAATGCACCAATAGGAATTTGGGAGAAGAAGGGCTGGAGGTTGACCAGGTGGGTGTGTACGAGAGGAGTCATTCAGAGCAAGAACAAGGTTCCCTGCCTTCTCCTTGACAATGGTTCTGTCCTGTGAGGCTGAGTAAGAAATCAGCAGTGTCTTTTATAGCCTCAATGACAACACTTTATTTTTCAAACAAATAATTATTAATAATTTCAAAAGTGATTAAGATTCATGAGACTTTCTAAAATAAACAAAAATAAAAGGATTTATTATTTTACCTTTACTTATTTTTGGTTTTTCATACATTCATAGACATTTTGTTTTAAAACATTAAATGCCATTGATTAATATAATTACATGTAACAGCATTAACATTAATCAAATTTAACTACTTAAGCTAGGAGCCTACTGGTGAGAGCGCTGATGGTTTAGTGGAAAGGAGCTGTGCTGCCAACCCAAAGGCATGTGGTTCGGATCCACCAGCTGCTCTGCAAGAGAAAGATGGGCAGTCTTCTCCTGTGTGATTTACTGCCTCTGAAAACTAGCTATGAGTTAGTTCTAACTCAACACTACTTAAAACAACAACAAATTGTGTATTGCCTTTCCCTTTGAGTAAAGTAACTTACATATTTATTAATTTTTACCCCTTCTCTTCCCCTTTTCATTCCTGTTATTGATTCATGATGGATTATATTTGTGCATAAACCTTTCAAAAAATTTTTTATAATAGCTTTATACTGTAATTGTCTTTTTTGGTGACTGACTTAGGTTGCATCTTTCACAAATTCTTGTTCTTTTTTCAGTTATATAGGATACTATAAAACATTGTCTCTAAATAAGTACAGTGAATCTGAATGGTTTAAATGGACTGGTGAAGAGAAAAAGAAGAGCAGATTGGATAAAAACCCCAAAACCCATCAATATGCTGTCTACAAAAGGCACACTTGAAAAGTAAAGATAAAGAAGACTAAAAACAAAAGGGTGGAAAGAAAATATCCCAAACAAATGGCAGACAGAAAAAAGCAGAGTAGCAAAATTAATCTCCAATAAAATAGACTTCACGATGAAAACCATCACAAAGGAAAAGGAAGGACACAATATAATCCATTTGTGGAGTAGTTTAAAATTATGCATAATATCCCAAATTTGTATGAATACACTATAGTTTCTTAAGCCATTTATCCATGAATGGAGAGTTGGGTTTTTCCAACTCTTTGTTGTAAATAATGGGTGGGTGTATAAGCCAGTTTGTGTCACAGCTCTTATTTAAGACATATACCTTGTCATGAGATTGCTGGATCAAATCATATTTCTATTCCCAACTTTCTAAGAAAGCACCAAACTGCTCTCCATAGTAATTGCACTATTTTTTAACCCCACAAGCAATAATGAGAATTCCAATGCTTCCACAGTCTTGGAGGCATTTATTGTTTGCTGTCTTTTAAACTTTGCTATTGTTGATGGGATGAGATGATATATCATTGCTGTTTCTATCTCTGTAGTTGCTAATGATCTTGAGCATTTCTTCATGTGTTAGTGGCCATCTGAATGTCCTCTTTGATGAATATTCATGTCATCTGCCCATTTTAGAACTGGTTTGATCACCTCCTTATTTTCTGTTGCCTTACTGTGTGATACAGAGCCTTAGAAACCCTATGGTGGGCCAGTTAAGAGTTGGCTACAACTCCAGAGCTATGTGTTGAATTATGATTTATTCATTCTTCATATTTTAACTCCTTAAATGGAAAAGTATGTCATGGAGAATAATAGAAATTATGTCATAATGTAAGAAATTCCCTGTAATTAGGAATACTTACCATTTATTGGTATCTTTTCTATCTTAGCTGCTCTGAAAGGCCATTTCCACACTTCATCTCTTTTAATCCTCAAAACAAATAAGCAGGAAAATATATTTGTAACCATTAAGGAAGCTGCAGTTGATAGAGGTAAAATAATGTGTTCTTGGCCACACAATTATTACATCATACGAATCTATGTGATCTTCTAATATTAATCTTCTACAGAACTATGCTTCAGCACTATGTTTTAAAAAGTCATCTAACATCTTTTTGTATTAATCAACATCAATACATTAAGGACTCATAGGTATGCCCAGTAGGGAACTCTGGTGGCATAATTCAGAGTAAGTTGTGCTACTAATCCAAAGGGTATTTGTCTCCAGCAGTTCAATTCCACCAGTGGCTCTGAGAAAGAGGGATGAACAGTTGCATGCCATCTGGCTTCATAGAAGCCTCAGAAATTAATGTAGGGTTTCTATGAGTTGGAATCCACATGACATCAGTCAGTTTCATGTGGCCAGTACTGTGATTATCGTTGTTATTAGAAATTGTCAAGCTGACTCATAGCAACCTTATGAACAACAGACTGGAACTTGCCCATGTTCAAGCCATTGTTACAGTCATCGCCTCAATCCCTCTTGTGGAGGATCTTCTGTGCCAGATATGACAAAAACCAAACAATGAAGACGTGTACTTTCTCACTGAACTGATGAACTATACAACATCCCCTTCCATTCTTTCTTATGGTTGGAAATTGCCTCCCTCTACTAAACCACTAAACTCATTACTATCCAGTTGATTCCAACTCATAGATCCTCCATTGAGTTTCCAAATCTTTATAGGAAGATACTGTGTATCTTTCTTTGGCATACTAGGTAGAATTAAACTGCTGAACTTTCTGTCAGCAGTTGTTTTTATGTTTTACATCAGCTCATAGCTGGCCTTCCACTGGGTGTTCAGAGGCTGTAAATCGCATGAGAGATTGATTGCCCATCTTTTTCCTGCAGAACAGCTGGTATATTCGAATGTTATACTTCTGTGTTGGCAGCATAACCCTTTACCCACTAGGCCTCCAGAGTTTCCCTCTGTTAGCAGGACGACATTAAACATACTCTCTCACAGCACTCCTTGCCTCCTTCAACAGAGGCTGAAATACTCACTTCCCAGCATTCTTTGTAATATGAAAAGAACACATAACAAGTTCCAGTCAACGAGATACAAGAGAAAAGTCTATTGAGGGGATTCTAAGAAAGACTTTCTTTCCTTTGTGAGACATGTATAAGAAGAACAAAGTTCTCTGTTTGATTGCCCTCTTTTGATGGAGTTATTAGAGCTGCTGTAGTATACTGAGACTAAGAGGAAGATTTTCTATTACCCTTTGATGGCAGATCAGAAACATGGAAAGAAAAGATTTAGGATATTTTTTAGTCCCATCTACTTATTTCGGTCAGCTTGTTAAGTGAGATAACAAATGCTCTTAATTGCTTAAGCCACTGTTCAGTACTCTGTGAACTTGTACTCAAAGTCTTCTGAAACGAAAAAATATTTTTTAATAGATAATAATATGCTCATGTGGGTAAAATAAAATCTGGAGACTAAAAAGATAGGGGGAATTAAAGATACAGCACAGCACCTGACCTTAAGGAGTTTTAAAGCTAAAGGAGAACGTGTGTGTGTGTGTGTGTGTGTGTGTGTCCTGGTCTTGCTTTCCCATTGCATCGTCTAAGCTTTTTTCATTAAAGTTTTAACTACCACTGTGTCATCACAGCACTTTAAAAGTGGTTGTAAACACCCTATTTGAACCATGTGATTAAAAAGAATGTACCACAATTTCTCAATCAATTTTGTGGTTGGACATTAGGGCTGTTTCCATGTTGGTGGGTGGTGGGAGGGAGTGAAGGAAATGGGAAAGATCCAGCTGGGAACCTTTGAAAAGATTGGGTAATGATGGGCAAAGTCCAATGGAGATTGATTTTATAAAACGTAATGCGTGGGAGTGAGTGTATGAAACACAATATGAATCAGGAATAGTGTAAAACATAATGCATATGAACTTTGTGAGCAAACGAATATATATATATTGATATATATATTTTTTTTTTAAAAAAAAAGGAAAATGAAAAGCAAAAAAAGAAGAAGACCTAGTCAGGACTCCTGACTAGCCTCATAAAGGGGGCAAACAGGAGGTGAAGTTGATTGAAGGTCATTGGAAAGCCAGGAGGAAGATTTGATATTTTTGTTGTTAAGAGGGTGGTGGAGGGCCTTGGAAATGGACTGGAAGCAATCTGTAGACTGGGTTGGAGGAAAAGATCTTGGGAACAGAGTGATCAACTAGGCTGGCACCACCATGGAACAATTAAAGGTTAATGAGAGCATGATCCAATGTTGTGGGAGACTGACTGAGAGGAATGGGAGAGGCATGCACAGTCTATAAAGATGGTATTAGAGGGTGGAGCAAGAAGAGGGAGTCAGATGACTGACGGATTTTGTTTGGATGACCAACAAGATGATTGTACTAAGAAGAAAATCTAAGGATAAAGGAGGAAGAGCAGGTTTGACCAGGAGATCAATATTTATGTGGATCTCTTCCAGTCAGTTAGTTGGACAGGTAGTTGCCCTCCAGATTTCTTGGCACAACATCAGTTAGGTATTGTTAAAAATACTTAACTATCCAAGAGCTCTCTGGTGGCCTAGTGGCAAGAAGCTGGGTTGCAATCCAGAGGTGTGTGATTTGAATCCACCAGATGCTCTGCTGGAGAATGAGAGGCAATCTCTTCTGTGCCAGTTGGATCTGACTTGACGATACACAACATACACAATACAAAAATAAACCTAACTATGCAACTCATTGCTGCCAAGCTGGTTTAGACCCATACCCACCCTCCACTGGGTTTCCCAGCCTGTAAGTGAAAACAGGAGAGTCTATTTCCAGCCTGTAAATTGTAATGGGGGAGACTATTCACCTTTTTCTCTTGAAGCTGCTGATGGATTTCCACCACCAGAGAACTGTGGCCTTTGGTTAGCTGC